GGGACATGTGGGGGGGAGAAGGACATGTCAGAAACACGTGGGGGACACAAGAGGGACATGAGGTGGACACGTTGAGGGGAGAGGGACATGTCAAGGACACGGGACATGAGAGGGACACGTCAGGGACACGGGACACGAGAGGGACACGTCAGGGACACGTGGGGGACATGGGGACACGTGGGGGACACGTGAGGGACACGTGGGGGACACGGGGACATGTCAGGGACACGTGAGGGACACGTGGGGGACACGGGGACACAGAGACGTGTGGGGAACACGTCAGGGACACGTGGGGGACACGGGGACACGAGAGGGACACATCAGGGACACGCATGGGACATGGTGGGGACACGTGAGGGACACGTGGGGGACACAGGGACACAGACATGTGGGGAACGCGTCAGGGACACGTGGGGGACACGGGGACACGAGAGGGACACGTCAGGGACACGTGGGGGACATGGGGACACGAGAGGGACATGTCAGGGACACGGGGACACAAGAGGGACACGTGGGGGACACGTGGGGGACACGGGAGGGACATGTCAGGGACACGTGGGGGGCACGGGGACACGGGGACACGAGAGGGACACGTCAGGGACACGTGGGGGACACAGGGACACAGACATGTGGGGCACGCGTCAGGGACACGTGGGGGACACAGGGACACAGACATGTGGGGCACGCGTCAGGGACACGTGGGGGACACAGGGACACAGACATGTGGGGCACGCGTCAGGGACACGTGGGGGACACAGGGACACAGACATGTGGGGCACGCGTCAGGGACACGTGGGGGACACAGGGACACAGACATGTGGGGCACGCGTCAGGGACACGTGGGGGACACAGGGACACAGACATGTGGGGCACGCGTCAGGGACACGTGGGGGACACAGGGACACAGACATGTGGGGCACGCGTCAGGGACACGTGGGGGACACGGGGACACGAGAGGGACATGTCAGGGACACGGGGACACAAGAGGGACACGTGGGGGACACAGGGACACAGACATGTGGGGAACGCGTCAGGGACACGTGGGGGACACGGGGACACGAGAGGGACACGTCAGGGACACGTGGGGGG